TAAGAAAGGACTTGTGTCGCTAAAGTTTCGTGGGAACGAAGTTACGGAAAATCAACTAATGAACGGAGACGTAAGAATATAAATAATAAATTACAGACATGACTGTCAAACCTTGTAAGAAACCATTTGTAAAACTTCTGTATCTAGATAGATATTGTATCGTGGTATCAATATCTAGGTATCAACTGCTATGACAAGATATGCACCCCTAGCTTTTAATGAAAATTCTGTATGTCATGACAAAGGAAATTATTTTTTGTAGAGATAATTTGAATAATTTTAAATGCAGAAGTATTGCAATTTTTCACTTAAGAATGGGGGAAATATAGTTATGTTTTAATAAGATAAAAGTAATTTGTTTGTTTCAGGTAAAAGAAAGCATATAAATAAAATTTACCACATTGAGTGATAAGGAAAGTATTGTTTGTATGAGAAACAAGTTAAGACATTGTCAAGAATCTTGCTCTTTTCCATGTCCTTTTGGGGTGTATCATCGTTACACAAATAGGCATCAGATACTAAAGAATTGGTGTGTGTGTTTGTGTGCATATAGGGAGGAAGGTATTTAAACATTTTTTGATTGTACAATCACTTCTGTACTCTTGCACCCATAACTTTAACCTGGGAAAATGTTGTATAAATAGCATATTTACTCTACCTGAAATACACAAATCAAGACACATGGTAGTGTGTTGTGCAGCCAAAACAACTTGCTGCAGGACACACTGTGTGTTATTAACAGGAGTGATAGTTTAGCAATTTTTCACCTTTTGTATCTCGACTGTGGTAATCCAATATATATATCACATATTTTCAGTGGATGTGCTCCACTGAACTCTTACTTCACATACCAAATTTCAAGGTAGTCCACTAAGAAATGCCTGATATAACATCTCCAATTTTGATTGAGTTTCTTCCATTTTTTTCTTCACACCAAAAGTATGGAAATTTTATTTGATAGAAAAACATGCTTAACTTTTAATGGATTTCTTTCAAATTTGGTACATAGATAGATCTTTAGAACTTACAATTAGGAATCTTATTTGGTGTAAATATAAGCCACATGTGCAAAGTTATTCAACAAAAACTGCTCAAATTTGGCATAAATGTTTGATCACACCTACACAAAAAAATCACAGAAGCTATCAGTCTACTGTTTTTACTACAGCTTCACCTAATAGTAAAAGTAGACCATTTTTAGTTTTTTGGTTAGGCCAAGCAAATTAGATTAGCATTTAGCATCACTTGATATTAGCTTAAGCAATTAGAATAAATAATGATGCTTGATATAGTTGTACCGATAGCATGGGGGTGAGGACAAGAAACTGTTATTTTAAATTCCATGAGATTAGAATAAAGGAAGCTGTTAACATTGTTTTAGAGAATAAAAACTACCACCACATTTGGTTGGTTCTGTAAAGTAAAGGTCTGTTCTGAATAATATGGTTGCAATCCTAAAGCTAATATGGGTTACTATCGAGTGTCACTTTCTTACTTGCCGTGGTTTGTTGGTGTGTATTGACAAAAAGTCATGATATCTAATCAAAAACACCTTTTTCACACCTAAGATGTTTTTGATTAGGTTACTTTTATGAAACTAACAGACCACTTACTCATTTTTTATAAATTTCTTTTAATGATATTGGTAAATTGCAACATTTTGCTTACAAATTCTCTGGAACAAGTATTGCATTGAAATGATATGGAGCTTCCTAAGAATTAGCCCTAAGAAAAAATTCCAGAATGTGGTAAAAGAAATCTTATCCACTGAGGTTAACAGAAGCTCTGTAAATAGGTAAACTTATCATGTTGACAAAGATTCAGTTGTTTAGTTAAAACTGGAGCTTTTTTATCTCTTTTACCAAAGCTCACTGGTTGAGTGGTAACAATCCAAATTACAAGCACAAAGCTGAGATAATTAAAGTAAGATGTCATTTACAGGTAGCTATAAAATAAATTAAGGCAGAGTTAATTGCTGTAATAGTACAGATAATATTATATGGAGTTCATGGAAATGAATGAAAACTATAGACGTTATTTCATTTCCATTATGGATTTAAGATACGATAATCCTTCATGACAACAAAGAAGTATTATTTGATTTTGAAAGAAAGTATTTTAAAAGCAACAATTGTTTCTTGTGTAAAGGAATAAGAGAACGAGATGGGAAAAAAGGTTTGTGAAGTAAAATAATTAAATATGAGTAGTAGAAACTAAAAAAATCAGTTGAAATGATAAAGCTTCAGTGATTAAGAAGCAAAAATGGAAATCATTTTGGGGTCCAAATGAACTGAGTACAAAACACATCAAGAAAGAATATGAATATTAGAAGAAGAAGAAGAAAAAATAAACCAAAACAAACCACTGTCGGATGAATTTCTTGATAATTCTATCTGGTTTAATGTTGTTAAAAGCTATGAGACAGTAGCATATACTGAAAGAGGGTGACAAGGAAAAAATTAATAATAGCTTTTATTACCAAGTTAGCAGTAGTTACAGATTTACACATTGGTTTGTTTAAAATCATATAAGTATGTTTTTTTTTATTGGAAACCTAGTTAGAATTAGGGCTATTTATCCATGGTAAAACTTGCTAAACTTTTTTTTAAAAAAGGCATGAAATTGAATTAACATTTCCATTCATCAGTCTGCGTTTATAGAATAACTAGTATCACAACATCACCTAGAATCATTTTTATCAGATAGAGTACCCAAGAAAAAAAACCCATAAAACATCAAGTCACTTTAAAAAAAATTAAATTATGACATATCGTCTTGATAAATTTGTGATTTATATTATACTTCTGACATGTATTTTTGTTTTATTTTTAGGTTATGGTGTGTATGTCAACACAAGCAATGGCCAAGCAACACTGCAGGGTGTATCAATAGAGAATAATGCAGCTGATGGTGTGCGATATGTTTTCCATGACAACTATTTTCTAAGCAAAGAAAGCTTTTGCAGCTCTGTTAAATTTGGCAAAGACCAGATGTATCCATTGCAGCTCACTCACAGCCAGAGCCGTGACCTCAACTATGTCCAGGATTGTGAAAAGGTTTGTCTATAAATGTGTGAAAAATGAAAAAATTCTGTGAATAGAAACTTGAATAGCTACACTTTGTGACCTATGATACAGTTAGAACCTCAAATCTGTTACCCTTACTTGTACAGGTGGGGGTCAGAGTGTATGTACCCCAATCTTGTACAGAGTGACATTCAATAGGTATTTTGCATTTGATGTCAGACTTACCAACATTTCATGTTACCTTACATTGGTGAATTTGCAACAGTTCTTGTCAGAGTAGAGAAAATACCAGATACAGTATACAGGGATACTTGAAAAACTTTAGATATTCATTTAAGAGGTTGTAAATGTTATACAAATGCAATTTGCAAAATGTACAGGGGACAAAAGTATTTTTATTCTTTACATGAACATCTTTTTTCCCTCCAATTTATTGGTCTGAATCAGACTGTCTCTGATATTTCACACACATATCTTTAGTACAAAAACTTCAGTAACTCATCTGATATTTTGCGTACAACAGATTTGTACTGTTGACTAAATACTTCATAAATTTGGAATTATAGTCAACATTACTTTTCCAATAGAGGGTTGATTCATGCATTGGACTGACCCTATACACGTTCAGTTATTTTTTGTTAAGTATAAAGTTGGCATATATAGAGAGAATATGGAGTTTACAATTTCTCTGTGGTTGTAAAAACTGGAGTTGAATTTGGGGATGAAATTTGACTTTAAAATATTGAGCTTTGTTCCACAGTGTTTTCAGAGGGAATTAGGCTTAAACTACTGCTATTCTTCCTCACTCACATTTTTCAAACAGAAGGATCAGGCTGACTATTGTTTGTTTATTTTTATTACTTTATATAAGGAAGTTCATTACTTTGAAGTCTTTACAGAGAGGATGCAGTATACAATTCACTGTGTTGTTGGCCTTGCAAATGTAACAACTTTACATGTTGTTTTAACAAATAGATTTTGTTCTCTGGCACCTTAATAGGCAACTATTTACTATAGCAATGTAATTAATTGTTATTGTGAAAGCTTTATGGAATATTATTATTTTTGTCATTATTCTTCAGCACTTAGATGTATATTTGTGCAGTATAACAAAATCAACATTTAGAAACTTGTAACTTGTATAGTTATAGTTAATGTTAGTTAATATTTGATAGTCGTTGGTATAGATATGGTTAAAGTAGTAAGTTTGTATTTGCTATTTGTCTGTATAGACCTAATGAGCTCTGATATTAATTAAGTGAAAAGCCTCTCAGCAGCAGTGTCATGCATGGTGTTATGTTATAATAAAAATTGTATACAGCCAGTAAAAAAGATGTGTTGAAGATTATTATGCCATATTGTGATGTCACACAAACTATGTTGTGTATATTATTTAGTTGTCTGTACAGATATGACTAAAGTAGTTATTCAATACAAGCAGAATTACCTTTGATATACCAAAAGCCTGTCCTGTTAAGTTGCTCTCATGCTGTCAGCAATTATGCGACTGAATTTCCCAGATACAATGTGGAACATGTGTCAACTTAAACAGAGTTCTCCAATCTCTCACCTTTTATATGACTTATAGTACATGTGTCAGAAAAATATGTATAAACTCTAATTTCCTGCAATAATCTAGATTTTCTTGTTGACAGTCCTGCTTAACTTTACTTACAATGAATTCTGAAGTCACTGTTAATTTTTATTATTCTATAATTTCTCAGAAGGCCTTACGCTATCTACCTTTAGTGTTCAAGGATATCCCATATGACTGCATATTCAGGCTGTCAATGCTGAGTTGCACAAATAGCAGAACTCCTCACATTTTCTCATTATTTTGAACCTGATAGATCTTTTGTTCATGCCTATTTACCTTCATTATCAGCATACAGGAATTGTCCACTAACCCTATTCCTGAAGAAGCTTCTGCTCATTTGTTATCTCTTCTCTCAGGGATATTTTATTTTAAATCTTGAACCAATTTCAGTTACATTTGAGGAAGCTAATGTCACATTGGAGGATTAATTTCTGGACATCTTTATATTTTCCATCCTCTTCAGATATTTTTTTTTTTAAAGCTGCCGCTTTTAGAAATAAGCAAAATGTTAATATCTGTCATGTTTCTCTTGCTTGCCATATGAGTGACCTTTTAGCAGGGTCATATTCCACTATTCATCTTTCTTCTCAAGTTCTTGACCCTTAAACCAATTGCGGGAGGGGGTCTTCCATGTGGTTTTCAACTTGGACCCATCATAATTTTATATCTTCCCTACTATGATTTCTCTTGTTTTGAGACTTTATTCTTCTCCACGATTATTAGCTATTCTCCTTCTCCCAATTCTTTTGATTGTGATAAAATTTCTACCTTGTAGTCTTCCGTAACTGCAACTCAGTCTCACTGATGTAGTTTTTGTACCATGTGGCTCTTAAGTTCCTTTGACACCTTAGCCAATTGTGCTGTGTTACAAGGAACTCATATCCTTCCCAACATTTCAGTTGAGCTTTAAAGAACTTCTTTCTTGCATAATTTTGTCTTTGCAGGAAATTTACCTAAACTGGTTTCTTGTTCACAAAAAGCATGTCAACAAAAGCTGATTAGAGTTCTGGTAACATTCATTCTCTTGCCTTGTCTACTTCCCAACTGATGTTCATTCTTTTTCACCATACTAAGTAGTCAAATGCAGAAGTATATGAGGTGAGTCTTCTTTATCCACTCATTGATTCTGTTCTGTTCCAAGTGATGCCTCTATCTGGACTGTTGGTGGTTATTTTGTATTGTGTGATTATCTTTGGAATCCTTTGGGTTAACAGATCCTTCGGTCAAGTTTTTACTTTCATTTTGTTTATCCTCCCCCTCTTTCTGTTCAACCAGTGTCTTTTCCTTCCAGTTTAAGTTACTTACTAATTCTGGATCAAGAATTCTCCTTGTTTATCATGTTTCTAAGTATTTTTACTCCAGTCTTTTTCTATTTCCAAAAAGAAGAAAAAAAGATTGGAGACCTGTCTAAGCTCAATCTTTACCTGGAAGTATTTCATTTAAAACTGGAAAACAAAAGTAATGAAATTTTCATCATCATGACCACTGGTGACAAAGGTAGATATGCAGGATACTTGTATTCATAACCCTATTCTTTATGTAATTTCTTTGTTTTTCCACTGCAGTGTTTTATTATTTCATTGCCCTTACCTTTGGTTCCAGACACTTTCTGTTGAGTAGTCATACATTTTTTACATTCATTTGACATTGACTTTCAATTTTACATGGACAGTTAGCTTATTCTGATACTTTTGTGAACTGAATCTCTTATGCACACCTAGTTGACTACCTAACTGACTACATCTCTTGAGCGGATCATTGTTGATATACATGACTGTTTGAATTTAAGTATAGCATGAGTGCTAAATTTATTTATTGTTAGAAGCGACTGTCTATCACATGATTGTTTATGTAACTGTGTGAATCATATGTTGTGTAGTTCAAATGTCATAAATTGGCGATTGTTGTATTATTGCATCATGTTACTAGAACTCTCTAAGTTTTTCTCAAGTATTATTACATCATAATATCTTGTAGGATATAGAAAATTCTAGGCCTCAGTTGGGCTATCTATAAATACTCGTATGAAATGTAGTTCAAGTATGTAAGACAAAGATAGACATTTAGTTAGACAGATAGCTAGAGATAGATTGTGTGTTTGTAAGTTCATCCATAAAGAGCATATAGTATTGCTTTTTTTTAAAGTAAAATTGTTGCAGAGTAGAGAAGAAGAATTTGTTTTGTCAGTTGTGTTCTAAAGTAACTGAACAAACCTGTGTGGACTTTTGATGAAGAGAGACATTTATTTAAAGCTCTCGATACAGCTGTGGTAACCAACAGTATAACGTAAGTGAAATTATCATCAATTGTATTGTAAGAACAAAGCAGAGGAGAATAATTCCTTTTGTCAGTTGTGTTCTAAAGTAACTGATCCAGCTTGTGTGAACTTTAGCAAAAAGAGACGATTATTTATAGCTCTGGATGCAACTGTGGTAATTAACTGTCTAACAAACATTTGTATATATGTTTGACTTGTTTTAATATATTATTTTAAAACAAGTGGACTGTGTGCTGTTTGTTTAGTGTTGAGAGTTATTGCCTGCAAGTCACAGACATCTACTGTAAAGAATCTTTGCATATAAAAACCTGACAATCATCCACAGCTCTAAATCCCATTTAGTACTAAGACAGTATTTGGTACATCTGGGATTTTGGATCAACATGGTTTGAACACTTCATCCACCTCCTATTCCATTTCAAGCCTTGGAGTCTTGAGTACCCACTCATCTATTTTATACTCACCTATTGCTTTCAGGATGATGGCTTCATTTAATGAAGTCCTTCCCTTTAGGCATGCTCACATGCAGCACATCCAGTGGGACCTGGCTTCTCAGTGGCATCTGACTTCAGACTCAATGTGACACAGCATACCTATTCCATTACTCACCAGTTATGGTTGAATCAAGTGTTTATGACTGCAGGATTTTCTTTTCTTCATTATCCTATACACCTTCATCTTTTCCAGATGCCAGTTTCATAGACTGTGGCACTGTGTAGAGGAATCTATATCATTTTGGTTCCTGGTCATCCTGGGAAGCAACAGTTTCCATCAATGTGTTATAACTTTGGGCTGTTCTGTGTGATTGTCTTGAGTTTCTACTCCACAATTCTATGTTCATTCACACACAATTCTGTTGTGGTGGCTTAAATCATCAATCACAGTACTCGTTCTCACAGCATTTGTTTTGCAGTATTTTTCTATTTCTTTGGCTTCATTCTCAACATGTTCACCTTGAGCCCATTGGTTTTCAGTGGCTTTGAGAATAGCTAGATAAGTATCTTCTATGTCAGATAAGTATCTTCTTCTACTCTACTTGTCTCCAGTTCCACAACCATATTTATTGTTAGTGGATGCCTTTAGTCATTCTTAAGAGAATCTCTTACTTTATGCCTACTCCTTCTCTTAACTTTTTTTCTTAGTTACTTGAAGTGCCATATTCTCCTCATCACTCCACTTTGGCTGGCTAAGCTGTGATTCTCCTCTTATGTTAACTTTCCCTTAGGCAAACAGTCTCATTATCATTATAATATCAATATTATCTCCTGCAACAACTTCAAACATTCTCTGTAATCTGCTTAGTTATCATTTGGGTCCATATCTCTGTTCTGCATGATAACCTAGGTATGAAATATGCATAGTTAACATCCCTTTAACCAATTGTAGAGACATCTGAGTTTGTGGAATCATTTGATAAAAATAGAAAGATACAATTCCTCCCTTATAATATGAAATTTAATGTTTAAATAGATTCATCCTGTTGGGATTCTCTCTTGCATGTTAACTATACCTCTGTGATTGACTTAAACAATATTTTGCTTTCTGGGCTGGTGCTTCATGAGAGGATGATGTCCTCTGGAAGTGGGCAAAGGATACCATGTAGTGGCTGATGATGTGTTGACAGTTATATATCCCACCTCATTTTGCATGTTCTTGCATAATATTCAAGTCAAGATACCTATTCTCCATAGGAAAACCAGTATAAAGAATACCTAGCTGTTTCACTTTGATCTTTTTTCTTAACTCGATGCATACAAGGATCTGTCAGTTTAACTGACCTTATAGTCAGCATGTCATGACATTTTTACAAAGTGATCATGACATTGAAAATTTAATTAAATGACTTTATTATCAATGTATGTCAATAAACTTGACACCAAAATTTAGTTTGTAATTCAAAAGGAAATATTTTAGAAAATCTCAGAATTAATTTTTTGGTCACCCGTCATGTCTTCTTTCTGAGTTCATAAATTCATAAAATTTTAAAGGGACAAAAATGAGCTTATTAGTCCATCAAGGATGTCCCTTCCAGCTCCCAACTATAACCACTCCTTACTACTCATGTATGCATCAATCTTTTCTTGAATTCAGTTAAATGTTTTGCCTCCACCAACCTTGAAGGCAGCTCATTCAAAAAGCCACCCACCCTGTTTGAAGAGTAATACTGTCTAAACTGCAAATGATGCGTATGCTGCCAACATTTTAATTTTTGACCCTTGTCCTATTGTTTTCACTGCTAAACACAAAAAAGTTTGGATCTATATTATCAATACCCTTGATAATCTTAGACACCTCAATCAAATCCCCTCTGACCCTTCTCCTCTCCAGAGAAAACAAGTATAGAGATTTTAGTCTCTCTCCTCATAGGACAATCCCACCATCCCAGGTATCATCCTAGTGGCTCTTCTTTGAACCTTCTCCAACAATTCAAGGAAGAGAGCCCAAAACTGTACACAGTATTCTAAATGAGGCCTTACAAGTAATTTATACAGTGAAACATAAATATCCCTTGTCTTGTATTCAGTATTTCTATAGATGCTACCTAAGATCATATCAGCCACATTGCTTTCTACAGTACACTGTTTAGATGACTTAAGTGATTATTTTATCACAACAACAAGATCTTTTTTTTTCAACCACAATATTTAATGTATTCCCATTTAAATCTATAATAATAAAAGGGTGAGTTTGTGACTGCCATAACTCCAAGAGGAAAGAACCTAGAAACCTGAAATTTTGCACATGTACTAAGTGGACCCCGAATGTGTGCATCTGGGTATCATTACTTATTTTATCCATGTGTGTGTGCATGCATGTGCATCTATTTAATGAGGCAAGCTAGCAAAAAAACCACATAAAAAGAAGTGGTTCCTTATATTACAAATAGAATTCACAGATAGATGGACATGCACATGTGCGAGCGTCATAGCTCCAAGAGGAAAGAACTTAGAAACCTGAAATTTTGCACCCATGCTAAGTGGACCTTGAGGGTTTACATCTTGGTATTATTACTTATCTTATCCACGTATGTGTGCGCATGCGCATCTTTTAATGAGACAAGCTAGCAAAAAACCACATAGAAAAGAAGTGGTTCCTTATATAACAAATTCTAATATGTAGAAAAGCCAGTGCATTTTGGTAAATATGCGTTCCAACAATGGCTTTAAATCATGTTGCTTAGCAATAAACGTATAACCTAATATTGTTGTTGTCAGATGGAAGGTTACCTTTATAAACAGGCCACATCACATAAAGGAGCAACAAAAGTATACAGGTTATACTCTTATGCTAAAATGGGTTCAGAATACACACACACTGACATAGTCATCTAGAATAAATCAATGAAATAACACGAGCAAAGCCGGGTTCTTTCTCTAGATGTAATATCCATAATTTAAATTGTGAAAACCTACATGCATCACCTTACATTTTGGATAGTTAAACATCATCTGCCACATATTGCCTAATGCATCAAATGAGCTAAATCTCCCTGTAAGTCTGCAGCATCTCTGATACAGTTAGCCACTCAAAAAATCTTAATATCATCTGCAAACTTCAAAATTTTGTTAGTCGTTCCAGAGTCGATACCATTAATATAAATCACAAACAGCAGAGGACCCAGCACAGAGCCCTGAGGCACATCTCTTGAAACTGTGAACCAGTCAGATCTAACTCCATTTATTGCTACTCTCTGTTTTCTACCCTCCAGACAATTTTCTATCCAGTTTAATATCATTTCTACCACACCCACATATTTATTTTTTGTAACAAGTCTTTTGTGAGGCACCTTATCAGATGCTTTCTGAAAATCAACGTAAACCAAATCCACAGTATTTCCTTCATCAACTCTTGCAGTAACATCCTCAAAGAATTTCAGAAGATTTGTTAAACAAGATTTTCCCTTAATGAAACCATGCTGGCTCTTTGACACTATATCAAACTACCTTAAGTAACCTTGCAATGCATCTTTAATCACACTCTCCAAAACCTCCTTTACATATTGGACTAACATTAGCCAACTTCCAATCTTCTAATAGTCTTCCATTACTCAATAACCTATAAAAAAATGTTAGCGAGCAGTTCACAAATAAAATCTTTACATTCCTTTAAAACTCTAGGATAAAAGTTGTCTGGTTCAGGGCATTTATAAATTTTTAGGTTTCCTAATTTTTCTCTTACAATTTCAGAGCTTAAAATGGTATCTTTTAAATCAATATTTTTCTCGTACATTAAGTATCCCCGTCACTGTCAGTCTTGAAATTTTCTCTATAGATACCCTTGAATTTAAAATCTCCCATAATAACAACATCTTTTTAAGCTAACATTCTGATCTCATATTAAAATTTCTCATTAACTTCAACATTATGACCTGGTGGTCTATAACAAGTCCCAATTACAAGACTTTTCCATTTATATCCACTAACACTAACCCAAACTGACTCAACCTCAATGCTATTTTCTTTAATATGTTCTAACTCGATAGGATGCAATTCATTCCTCACATATGAAGCTACTTCTCTCCCTTATTTCAATACTCTATCTCTAGTAAATAATATGTAGCCTGATAGTTAAAAAAAAATTCATCAAAATTGTTCAAATCCATCCAAGTCTCAGTGATAACCATAATATCAAAATCCTTAGTTTCCACAACTGCTTTGAACCCAACAGTTTTATTTCTAATACTTCTAGCTTTACAATAGTAACAATTAATCATAGATTTTAAAATACGTACATGTTTTCCTGTCAATTATATTTCATATTTTACTAATATCATAGCCCTCACCTCTGTCTAGCCCTAGTTGAAATCTACCAGTACAGCCAAATTAATAGTCCTTGTTAACATGCTAGCCCCTGCCTTGTTTAAGTGTAAGCCATCCATTCCAAAAAGATTAACTTTCCCATTAAAATTATCCCACAAATCCAACCAGCCTATTTGCTCATCCCTACATATTGATATAAGCTTGGTATTCAATCCTAGTGACCCACTTAGTATCTCATCACCACAATTTATTCTTGGCAATATCCCTGACAAAATGTGGAGGACTTTTTGTAAGTTGAAACATGCTCTGCATTGTATCAAGAACATTCAGAACTTTAGTCGCATGGGTTTTGACAGCATGAGAGTAACTCAACCAGGAAAAGCTTTTGATGTTTCAGAGGTAAATACCTGTTTGGAATTCATTTTAGTTCTGAAAGTGTAAGAATATATATTTGTTAGTTGTCTGTATAGGTATGGCTAAAGAAGTTAAACTTCATATACTCAATTGTATATTTAATGTCATTTAGAATTACATTGAGAATTAATTGAGCTTACAAGAGAGAATTTGTTTAAAGTTTTTATTGTGTGCATTATTCAATTTACTCATGTAAAAATATTTTTGTCAAAAGTTAAAGCTGAAAATTGCACTTTTTGTTGTAATCTTCTGGTACTTTTATTTATATTCAATTAAGCATTATTTACAAAGATTTTGTAGTAATGTAAATCATTTGTATAGTTGGTATGGGTTTTTTTTCTCTGTCTAGCTGTTTGAATTAAATCACAAGTATGGCCAGCAACTTACTGTCCATTTCCCTACCTTAATGTCTGATGAATTACATGAAGCATCTGCTTCTCTGATTGAAGTGTATGGTGGAAGGTTTGATGATCCAAAACTTTTACTAGGAAGATTTCCTGTTATAAATAACACACGGCTTCAAAGTTTCACTAGCACTCGAGATAGTATTCTTGTCCGTTACAAACCAGTGTACAACAGAATGGTCTTCTTCACTGTGGAAGTGGTGGCAAGCTTTGGTGAGATATAACAGAATACAAACTTAGATTTCACAGTAAATACTAGTTTATATAATGGTCTAAAGAACTACATGATGTCAGTTGTTTTAAAATTATAACAGCTATAAAAAGTTAGACAGCAAATGTTGTATTTTTACTTCTAATTTTGTTTTAATACATAGAAAATGTGGTTGTATCATTTTTGTTTTGTAAGATATTTAGTAAAATAAGATATATGGGTTTTATGAAATAAAGTATATAATTTTCCATGTTTTTTTTAAGAATGTATAATTTTTTGTTTCTTTATGTGCTTTGCAACATAATGTGAATGAAGATATTTACTTTAGAAAGACAAACCACCACAAAATATTTAAATCCTAAATTAATTTTCCTAGAGTTATTTTAAATAATATATACGAGTTCTACAATGTGGATGTAGTTTAAAAATGATGTTTTTCTTGAGTGGTATTTAAGAATTTATTATAACATTGTTCATGTGAGTTAATTCTACAACTTTCAGTATTTAGACTACTTAAGCCTTAGTTTATTATTAGAAAAAAAGAAAGAGAATCAGCCAAAACATAGGTAAATTGAACTTTTAAATGTATTTGTTTGTTTAATATTTTTTTTACAATATGTTATTATTTTCATAAAACTTAGGACATAAGATTTGATTCAAAAATGCTACTTTATTTACAGGTAGGGCTCAAGACTTGGAACTAAATGCTAGTAACATAACCAAGAACCTAGGCAGAGGTGTGGTAGTGGAGAACATGCGAAGTGGAGTTGTTTTGAATCAGGCTTATGTTGCAGAAAATACACATGTTGCTGGATTACATGTATTAGGTGGTGCTGGTGATGTTATTGTGAATAACAGTGCTGTTGTTGATAACATTGGAGATGGAGTGAACATTACTTATAGTGGAGGCTATCAACATTATAATCTTTCTATTATCTCAAGAAACACTAAAACAGGAATTGCTCTCTGGTTTAATGAAACTTCCACAACACGTGCATTTAATTTCACGACACACTTCACTCATTCTGAAATTGTGAATAATGGAGAATATGGAATATTAATTGGAAACATTTGTAGAGCTGATTCATTTTGGAATATTAGCATGAATACATTTAAACAAAATAATGATGCTGCAGTTAAATTTTTGTCTTGTTGGTTGCTTGAAGCTAATCATAGTTCTTCTGTTGAAATAACAAACAATAAATTCTCTGACAGTAGAAAGCTGGCAGTACACATAGCTCCAGCCTTACACCTTAAAGCTACCATAGCTCATAATTATTTCATGAATCATCAGACAGGTGTTCTGTTCGTATCCAACAGGCATTTAGAAGGATATGGAGAAGTTGAAGTACTTGTGACAATCAAGTCAAATCTGTTCCAGCATAACAAAGGGATGTATACTTCTAATATTGGTGTGTTTGATGGAAGTAAAGTGCAGAAAATCATATTCACCAAAAACATCATGCTGCAAAATGAAATTAGTGAACCATTTCCTGCTCTGAATCCTCGCTCTCGAGTAGCTGCTGTAGTAGTGGTTTCTTCAAGTAATGTGGATTTGTTCAGGAATCATTTTGAGAATCCACTGTCACTTTACGAACTTGGGTCACACTTGGAAGCACACAATAAAGTCATTAACGCTTCACTGAATTACTGGGGACATATTGGTAAAACTCAGGTGCAAGAACTTTATGATCGTATCTTTGACCGAAAAAACCGTTACAACTTAGCAAGAATTGAGTTTCTTCAGTTTCTGATTTTTCAAGATCTAAACACTGAAGAGGCTATATCGCATGTTGATGAGTCAGAAAAAATCATTTGGTTCAGAAACGATAAAGTGATTGGAGGAGAAGTAATGGGAAATGACGAACTCACACCTGGTACCTACCAAGTTCATAAAGATATCTTCATCAGATCAGGTAGCCATTTGAAAATTCACCCAGGAGTCAATCTACAGTTTGATCAGTCTATTGGAATTATGGTTCAGGGAAAGCTGGATAGTGAAGGACAGGGTCTGAAAATAAATTTTGGAATTATGTCACAAATAAAGAAAAATTCTTTGAGCACAAATGTACGTCTTTCAAATAACACAGAAGGGAGATTGGAAGTACAGCTAAACAATCGTTGGGGTACTGTCTGTCTGCATGGTTGGGATATTAAGGATGCTGCAGTGGCATGTCACCAGTTGGGATTAGTCCTTCATCCTCAAGACTGGCTTCTGGAGAAGTCACAATTTCAGGACCAGGAAAGTTCTAGTAATGTTATCCTGAGCAATGTTCAATGCACTGATTTAGACACTGACTTGGCAACATGTAAGGCAGAGAGAGATAATGATTTTGAAAATTCCTGTACCATGATTGTTGGAATCCGATGTTACCAACCATCTTGGGCTGGTATTAGACTGGGAATGGGTGCTGATGAAAGTATTATTAAAAATGTTGTGATCCAAGAAGCAGGGCTATTCGATTATGCCACTCACATTTTTAAACCAGCGCTCCAGCTGGATCTTAGTCACCATCAACTTAGTGATCTGGAAATACAAGAAAACACAGATTCGGGAATTGGTTTCATGTGGAATGATGTTTTCTACTTCAGAGGAAACCAGAAGATCAGTAAGAGCAAGTTTACCAGAAACAGGCTTCATGGTATAATAACTCATTCTCAAGGTCTTGATATCATTGAAAATGAATTTGCTCATAATGGTGGAAGTGGTATACATTATGACCCAGTCCTTACAAAAATAGAACACATGGACCTACTCAGTTGGATTACTACTAGCAGTTCACACATAGTTCTGCCACGAGATGCAACAAGCTATTACAGACTTTCACAGAATTCTGGAAAATATGTTTTCTTTGAAGATGGTCTGATCTCCAAAAGACCTACTGATATTGAATTTAAAATATTCACAGATTCTGGCATGAGAATAGGAATAATGATTCTTAAACCATTTAGCAAAGAATCTACAGAACAAATGACAGTGTATGGGGCTTTAGAAGTTCGAGAAGATGTTCCAGTATGGGATCTCAGAAACAATCTTACCTCCTTTCCACTCAAAAGTCCAGGATCAGCTATTCTAGTTAAGTACAGAAGGGGAAATAAACCAGTTGGAGATGCCATCTTGTATATTGCATCAGTTGAAGGTAAAAAAAATTTCAATGCTATTTCTTTTTAGAAATTAAGCGAAAGTTTTTGTACATTATTAACAAGAGGGAATCCTCAATAGCCACGACACTTGAAATTCTTTTAGGCAGGATTAGAGTTAGTTAACCTATGAAACTGTTTTTCCTATACTTTTGTGTGCTAGCAACACCATGCATGGGGTGTGCATATACTCGATTCAATTTTATTACTCATCAGGATCTCTACAAGCCTACCCTCAAATTGAAATTATTTTAGGCAGGAGTACAGTAAATTACTCTATGAGACCTTGGGCATGGTCAAATACATCAATTGAAAGTGTTTGACCTCATGAGTCCAAAACTGTAATTAGATCTCAAATCAGTCAAGAAATGATGGAGCTATGAGCTTAAAGTTTGTATTTGGAAAAACGAAAAACTCGGAGCCATTCTATGAGCCGCTATGTCGTGGCTAAAACTATATACATTCAGATTATTTATTATAAACTAGACTGAAATCAGTTAAACAAGACTGGTGACTTTTTATCATATTCCAATTGTATAAATTCTTCCCAGTTTCCTTAATATTTACTATTATAGACGAAGTAGGTATAAAAGTTACAAAAATTGTTTTAATTTTTTTTTCAGATGAATCACATTATGTACAGATGTTTTAGTTTCACCTTTGTGTACATACTTTTTCATTGTCCATCAGTTTTTAGTATCAAAAAAATTTAGATTTGTCTTGTATTTGGCATTTAAGAGTAAACCTTAGGACTTATAATGCCAAAATTTGGGCTCAGTTCTTGCAATCGACATAGTACAGTTAACTTAACAACAAAAAAATAATAATAATTTTTATTCATAAAAAAACTTGTCAAAACATTTGGAAAGGTTATAAAGGTATTATGATTATATATTATCCTTCAACTGAAATCTTTTAAAAATTTACAGGAAACTTCATATCAGGGCTGGCATGGCTTGTTTTGCCTCCCTGTGCAAACACTGGCTGTGCCACCCTCCTCCAACAAATTTTCTGTGAATCATCTTTAGGCAGCAACAGTGTTATGTTCGAGTTGTATGCTTGACTGTAGAATACTAATTCTGCTCAATAGGACAATTTTCGCTTCACCAGAGAATAGCTGTGGACCACAACCAATTTTTTTGCATTAATTTTTGTCATCTCTCAAAATTTGCCACTGTGCAAATGCACACTTAATCATGCCAGTCCTTTCATATATTCAATGAGTAAAAAAACATTTTATGCATAGGAAGAAAAAAGAAAAGTTCAAATGCTGTATACTTAGCCACATAATAGTTCTTATATTCATCATAACAGTTGTGCAAATTCTAATTTAATCTGGGTATGAAAATTGGGTAGTCTCTACAATACAATCACAATTATAAACTACACTTATTTTAGTTGTAATTGTAAGAACTAGCAAACAAAGTTGAGATTACCTCACTGAGAAGATCTGAATACATGTAATGTAATGTAAGAACTGAGCTTGTCTCATTACATATCTGAATACATGTAATGGAATGCAAGAGTTCAGCTTATCTTACTAACAAATCTGAATAAAAGAGTTGAGCTTATCTCCCTAACAAGATCTGAATATTGTTATAAAATAAAAGAGTTGAGCTTATTTCACTCAGAAGACCCTGCTAGTTAGCTTAACTTGCAATATATGATTGAGAAATTATTGTCAAACATATTTACAGTGAAAACAGGATAGTTTATTTTAACATTAATATATAGAAATTACTTATGTAAACAATAATTTCAAATCACACTGCAAAATTAATCTGTTCTTTGAGAAACTGAATTGAATAACAACAAATATATCTTTAAGCTATATTGAGTCAGTTTATAAAATGCTTACAATTTGACATTTTTTTGTTGAGAAAGTACAGGACTGTTTGATTAATAAACTAAAATTTGTCACAGTTTCTTACTGAATAACTACTGATTACCATACTTGTGATGTTGTGAACATTGTGTTTGAAATATTTCTCTATCAGTTTGAATGACTTGGTCTGTTTTAGTTGTTTCTTACAATCATAATATGAATTGTTGTTGAAGAGAAACATATGAGCTAACTTTATGGTATGAATGTTTAAGTACAGCTTATTATCATGCTTATTAGCAACTCTGTAATTTTTAAAATATTATTTGTTAGAAAAGAATAGACATGCATTTATGAGACCATAAAGAGTAAATGCTTCTGTATTTTATAAAATAACCAAAACCAATGTAATATTCCTGTGTGTAAATCTTTTTACCTATGACATCTGAGGTCTACCTGAACCACAGCTTAAGTAAGGAAAATTGTTATTTTTATTAAAGAATCATATAAAGTATGCAGTAAATGTACATATTTAGTAAAAAAATTGTCATAACATTCCATTACCATCTTGAAAAACAATTATTAACATTAAGTTAATGTTATCAACTGTGCATCATGATTTTGTTTAATTTAAAATCAGTGTGACTTTTTTTGTATTGTTGATATTAATATTAAATAAAGGTATGTTTTTCTTTTAGGTTATGCTGATACTTACTTGGAAAGGAAGATTCCTACTATTAATATTGAAAAAAAATGTGATTAACAGTTGTAAGCATGGCATTTCAAGTAATCATTACAACCGTGATGAAAGTGAAATTGGGGATCGTTTCCATCGATACAATAATGAGACTATTTTAATAGTAGAAAACAATATTTTTAGGAATAAGAAAGAAGCTATTCTGGTTTCTACCCCATTTTGGGATCATTTAGTATCCAACCTTGCAGAGATCAACTACACTTTGGTTTACAACACAATTAGAGACAATGGCAAAGGCATTCTTCAGTATAGCCGTGACATCAGGAACTCTAATAATCTCTTTCACTGGAAACTAATGCACTTACTCTTGAAGAAGAACCACAAAGGAGGTTTGAATATTCGATTCCCATATGTGTGGCATTACAATGAAAATTACACCCACACTTTGATTGTTCATAACTCATCATTTATTGAGAATGATAATTTTGAATTCAGGATTGATGGACATTTTGCTCGAATTAAGGCAACTAAAAATATCTTCATGAACAATACTTGTAAATATGGATTGATTCATATATCAGGAATGGAGAAAGAAATGCTAATTCAGGAAAACAAACTAAAAGACAATACTGGGAGATATATTGTAGAATTTGATCTTTTTAGCCATGCAGACCGGTTTGGTATAGTGAGTGCCAATTTCAAGAATAATATTTTAAAAAATAATAAATATGGCCATGATAGTCTAAGGACAGAAAGCTATAATCCAACTAGTTATGCTCTGGGCATTCGAGGAGTTCAGCAGATTAACATCACACGAAATCTGTTCTCCAATCCTATTATGCATTTTGAATTCCTTGCAGGGGTCTTGACTGGTTCACTTCATAACCAGATCAATGTGGCTGAGAACTGGTGGGGAACACTAAATGTGACAGAAATTCAGAAACGAATCTTTGACTTTGATGATTGGAACAGCTATGCTGTGGCAGAATTTAGTCCCTACCTGGGACAGGATAATATGGCATCAGGAGTAGTGAGGGCTGAAGTGCACAACAACCCAGTTGATGTAGACAGTCCACTTGGAGGTAGAATCTATAAGACTTTGATCCTTCCTTATCGTAAGACTCCTTATTCAGTTAAATCAGATTTGACAATTCTTCCCAATGCTAAATTGATCATTGAGCCAGGAGTTCAGTTGATGTTCTACCCTAGTGTTGGTATCCTGGTTCTTGGAGACCTTGAAGCTAAAGGAACAGCAAGCTATCCCATTAAAATGATGCCAGCCAGAACAGTTAATTCTACCCATAGATTTCGAAGAGAACCCAGTAAAGCAGGAATTAGACTGTGTGTCACACCTAAGTGTGAAGAGGCCAAAAAATATGGATTTCTTGAGGTTTTCAACAGTACAACACTGCAGTGGGTACCTGTCTGTGATCCTTGTTTTACTGAGCGAAATGCAGAAGTGATTTGCCATGAGTTGGGTTATGTAAGACATAGTGCTTATTTTAAACAAAGTCATAGGTATGATCTTGGAACAACAACTTTAAGTAGGGTTAGGTTCTGGCCTCATCCGTTAGAGTGCACTGGTAAAGAAGACAGATTGTCTGATTGCGAGTATCGACTGAACGGATATGGTGAACATAACTACAGCTGTTCATATGAAGGAAACCATGTGTTTGTTTATTGTGGAGAAGACAACTTGGATAGAACTGAGGAGCACTGGGGTGGGATAAGATTTTCTGTTCCAAATTTTGAGCGACAACGTAGAAAGATGTTTGTTTCTTCTCGGACGTTAGATGGATCATCTTCATCTTGGATAGAGTATGTCACCATTCAGGGAGCTGGAATTTTGCATGGAGAAAAAAATGGAGCACTTCAACTTGTTCAACGAAGCATTAATCTTCACAGGGTTACCATCACAAACAGTGCCTCCCATGCAATAGAAGTTTTGGCATCTCCTGGGAACCTTTTTTTCAACAAACTTTTGATAAAGAATAACTTTGGTTTTGGAATAAGTTACTCTTCTATTCTGGGAGAATCATCTGATTCTTCTTTTCTTTCATATCACCCTCTCAAGGAAGCTGGAATTCCCTATTCTGTATTTGGTTTTGTTGATATGTGTGATGCTAACAAAAGACTGATGGTAGAGGAGAAATTGTTACTTTATTACAAGTATGACAACATGCCTGTTGATTGTGTGAAGATTTTTTCAAGCGCACACAGTGCAAAACCAGTTGGGTTTCGACTTCTACAGCTTAATCTCTTTGATGCTACTAGTTTTTCTGCCCAACCTGACGTTCTGCGTTTATTTGATGGAGACATCTTTAACTCTTCTGCTTTTAAACTAGGAGAGATCAAGACAAATAATGGAAACACCAAGCACACTGGAGACACACTGTTCTATAGATCAACTGGAAATACTCTCAGTATTCAACTTCATGCAAGTGGAGGAAGTCAGGTGTATGGATTCATAGCTGAAGTTGTAACACTTCCTATTACATATTACATTGGTAAGATAATCTTACAGTTTTTATATGTTATGAATTCCTGGCTGAAGCCAGGACACTACCTGTTACATATTATTATTATGGTAAAATAATTGTGTATAGATGAACTGGTTCTGCTTCTTGTTAGTTTTATTAGGTTGATAAGATAATTCTGTGGTTTATCTTGCATGGCTTCTTAATGAGGTGGTTACACATTGTTTTAAATATAAATTTTTTTTCAGACTTTGTTATTATTTCATCTGTTTTTAATGCTGTAAATGCTCAACATGTTTAATCTAGTCATTCAATGTGCTAAAGCTAACTTTTGGAATTTGCCAGAAAGCTGTTTAACCATATGGCAAATTAGGATTATTATTATTATTTTTTAAGCATAATGTTTTATAACTTTCAGCCCGAGGTTTGCAACACAACGTAACAAATTCAGTATTGTCCAATAACCAACAGGGTGCTATCAGATATCTGAGTGCAGGGGAAAGCACTCCTCATATCACCTTTAGCTATAACCGTATGGAATACAATGGAAGACAACTCTTTGAAAACGTAACTACATCAGAAGGTGCTGTTGTGTTAAACCTTGAGAACACCCCATACTTGGACTTCCATAATAATCTGGTGCTACAGAATCAGGGTGGATTCATCATAGAAGTGGATGCAAAGCAAGCAGTGGCTTCTCTAAGTGGCCTGATCACTAACAACCTCTTTGTTGAGAACAAAAATCAAGAGGCATTCTTGGCTAGGGGGCGTGACAGTGGATCTTATCAAGTGGTTGAAGTGACTCGCAACTATTTCACCAGGAACTTTGCCTTGTATAAGGATAACATTGTATTGGATCAGGTCAGGGCTAATTTTAGCTTAAACTTAGTTGTTAATAACAAAGGGCTTCATCAGTTACGAATGGTTGGCTCAAAGAATGTCAGAGTCTCTCAACAAGTTTGTCAACAGAATTGGTTGTGGAATAACATGGCTTTAATGAACTTGGATCGCAGCACAATTGTGGCAGGCAGTGCTGGTCAGCTATACAGATACAATTACTTAGAGAATCCTGATAGTGACTTTGAATTATCATCAACTAACAGAACACTGTAAGTTAAACTTTTTGTTTCATTTGACAGAAATATCTAGCAATAAATCATAGTGAGTAAGAAGGCACTTGATGAATATATTTGATGTTTTAGTGAATGAAGTGGAAAACTGGAGCTTGAGTTAATGAAGTAAAAAATGTTTGTTTTAAAAGTGTTGTTCAAAATGATGCTGTTGTGAACTTACTTTTGTTTCTAGTTCATTACAATTTAAGTTTTAACACTGTTTTTTTTTCTGGTTTATTATATTGAGTTTTGATACTTGTTTCTGTTTCATTACAGTGTAAATTTTAACACTTACTTCTGGTTCATTACAATATAAGTTTTAACACACTTGCTTTTATAGTGCATTGGAAATGAGAGAGAATCCAATCAGAGCAGCAGAAAATTGGTGGGGTTTTAATACTACAAGTGCTGTTGCTGGACGAATTAAAGATTTTCAAGATAATCCAGAACTTCTAGAAGTCTTGTTTCTGCCATATTATACAGACAATTCATCTGTTCTTAGTGGTTAGTTAATAGTGACTTTAGTTCTTATATATTGTAGAACTTATTAAATAGCTACTTTTCTGCTCAAAATAGAAACACTGTTTCTATGATCTGTATTATAAATATCTTGTCTCTATTTAGAAATGTCTAACAGGGCTAATTAATATTATGATTTGCCTTCAGACTTCAAATGCTGTCACAAGTCTAGTGATGATCCACTGACCCAGTTGAGTCCAGTCTATGAGTAAAGATACTTTTTAATCAATGTTACCTTTTGATCAAAGCAACCTACCTGCATAAATCAGGACTGAAAATCAACCTAGTAATGGATATGTTGAATTTGATATGCCGTTATGTTTTTACTTATAATGACTTGAATGCATTTTTTAATCACTTACATATTCTTGTAGTTAGTGATATTTGCAGCCATGATTAGTAGAGGCATTTTTTGGGTCAGCAATATACACTTAAGTGAGTTTAGATTTGGTATATTTCCTTTTGAAAGACTAAACAGTCAATTTGAAATGATAAGCTATGACCATAATATGATTTATACAGATCAATATTGTTTAACAAAATTAACTTGACTAATAAAATTAGTTATTAAGTGGGTTTTACTGACAAAGCATATAAATAAACTTATCCGTTATTTTGATGTAGATAGCTTAGATTTGATTTTTCACTGTTATCAGTTTACATGTTGTAAGTTATTACAGCTACATAAGAAGAATATAAAGCTAAAGTGAGGTTGTTTACTTTTGTAGAGAAATGTGCCGGGGGATGGCACAGGATTGGAGATACGTGTTTTCTTTATATTGGAGGGATTCTCACCTATGGTGAAGCCAGGAAGTTTTGCCAAGTAAGAAAATTAACTGTAATGTTCATAAAGCTAAATTAATAAAATATTGTTAAGTAAAGGTCCAGCAAAAAAGGATTTGATTAAAATTATTATCAGTCATATTGTGATATCACACCAACTATTAACTAAAGCCATATTGTCAGACAAATCGCCTGTCAGTGGATAACTTGATAATTAATCAACATAACAATTATAATGTTATTTAGTAACTGGAGCACAGAAACTAATGGAGTATCAAAGTATATGTGACTTGAAATCTTATTTTTTCTAACCAAACCAAAGCTTAAGCTTTTATGCTGTTTCAAAAATGGATGTTATGGAAGCTAATTTTTTTTTCTCTCCAATTTTTAAGAGGTTTGGATATTGTAGAGAATAGGTATGCAGCATGTAACAAAGTAATACATATATAGATGGTCCTGCAAAACAAAGTAGGTCAACAAGGTGATATAACTAGGTCATGGTTAAGTTTTTGAAATATGTTTTAACAGTGTCAGTTAATGAATCTAGTATTTTAAATTGATAAAGTATCACCACATTTTCTTCAAATAATTTCAATAAAATGTTTGTATTATTCACACATTTTATATCACTGGATTGATCAAGGGCAATTCAAAGACCATTCAAAGCATTGTACATATGCATAGCAACAGATTCCCCATAGGTTATAGTTACCATGTTGTCATGAAATGAAAATCTGCAACATGATGTGACACAAGATTATTTCTAGTAAATGAGACTATTCTATGTTATTGTTATACTTTCTAAGGCTTTCCTGTGACATCCAAAAATAGTTGGCATCATGTCATTTATTAATGTAGGAGGCTGTAAAAAACACTAATGAAATAGCATTTACGTGTGCCCATCAAAAGAGAAGCACTATTTTATGAGTCTATTCCTACTGCTGTACCTAAAATACTTATGTTTAAAAAATATATTAATGAAGTATAAGTAGTATTAAAAACAAAGTTCTTATCTGGACTTAATAGAATTCTTTAATACAACCAAGTTGAGATTTTGTAGTTAATGTATTTTGTTTGGTAATGTGTATTAGGAACAGTTTGTCAACACCAGTATGATTTCTCTACTTCGATGTGTTTATTCTGAACCTGTTTTAATAAAAATATATTCACTTTATTAGATGGACAATGCCTCCATGCCCTTTATAAAACAACATCACAAAGAAATAATGTATTTTATGAGCAAACAGCAAGAATATTTCAACTGGGACTCTCACATGGTCTGGGTGCAATCAATTGACATTCCTCTGGATAAATGTGCTGTACTATACAAGGGCAAAGTCCAGCAACATCGTTGTGATGACTCTTTGCCATTTTTATGTGAGAAAGATCCTGAAATAACAGTATCCATACATTACTGGTATCAGAACCCTGTGGGAAGTGCTGCCTTAGGAGTTAGTGCTGGAGCCATCTTGTTCATAAGCTTGTGTATCGGCTTTTGGGTTTGTAAATCCCGCCATCGTCAACGAGAAAAACTGGAAAGAAGAAACTCCATCAGAGCATCAAATCGAGCTCTTTCTGCAACAGATTTTGGTGAGCTTGGTTTTAGACGTCGCTTGGAACATATTGAAAAACCAATGCCTGTGAAATTTGAGCATTTCAATGGTAGTATAGATTCTGTTGATAAAACACCTCATTACAGCTGTTCATTTGATGACACGCACAGTGACATCACAGAGACCAAAAATCCAACTCTTGACTTCCCAGCATATGAGGATCATTATACAAGTAATTTGCAAATGGAGAATGAAACTGTAAATAACATGGCTCAACAATCATTTGATATGGCATATGAAAACCAAGGATTCCGAGAACATTCTTTATCCCAAATTTCCCATAATGGGTCACATGAATGGAGCACTGGAACAGATTCTACGTTAGACATGAAACGGTCATTAGAAATGTCTCGAGATGTCAATAGTAAAGAACCAAAGTTTCAAAATACACCCTCCCCTCGATCATCACTAGGTTCCTACTGCAATAGCTTTAGTAGTAAACAGCTGCTAGAAACAGCTATGTGATGCTTTCAAGACTTAGCAGAAACTTCTGATTTTTCATGTTCTTTTCCATTGGATGTTGAATTTTACATTGCTGATTGTGGTAGCCAAAGAAGTTATTATTTGGTAGAGCCAGTCCAATGCTACAGTGGTCTTTATGTACTATAACAGTTTTTATGTGGAATTACATTAACACTGCCTTGGACACACTGGATTACTTGTGCTAAGAAGTGATTTATATTTGCATAAAAGACTAGTTACCACAAGGGAATAGAGATATTCAAGACAACAGAAACTAATATTGTTTATATCCTTTAAAAAACTTTTGGATATTTACTTTGACTTGTTTTTCACATCCCATTTGCTTACCAGTGATTTTGTGCAATCTCTAACCTGAAAATTAATTTGCTGAAATAATTTTACATAGAGTTTAAGAGCAAAACCATTATAAAAATGAAAGTTCTAAATAAAATTATATTTCAAGTTAAAACTAGCAAAAACAACATTCTGTTTCTGTTGATGTAATTTTTTGCCTTCAACTGTTACTTTGTCTTTAGGGCTAGATGAAGATATTATCAATAACTTAGTCACTTTATCATTTCTGATATTTCATTATTCCCATTTGTTTATGTCCATTTTTACATTCAAACTTTTTTGAATTTTAGAAAGTAAATGAAGTAGAGTGATTTTGGATCAATTATTTTAATTTTGTTCATCATATAAAGGCCAACACTGACAGATTGTGAGAAAGAAAATTTTCCATTTCAAAATAAAAAACAATTCATTTCACAAAATGATGCAAGTTCTTTATTACAATTCAGCATTTTGAGTATTATTTGAAATCACACTTCACTTGACTATTGTTTCATGCTGGTGTAATGTTTTTTAAGGTTATATGTACATATTTTTATTGTTATTTTTTAGGAAAAATACTTGTGATTTTTAAAAATTGAAGTATGTGTTTTGTTTCATTCCAAGGCTATTTGTAATAGATGTAACATTATTAAGAGAATTTCAGGTCATCTAAACACTATTTCTGCACAAGGTAAAATCACTAGACTTATAAAATTCTTTATAACTGAATAAAATGGAGATAATTCCACATTGTTGTATATTAGAATGTGTTAATTAGGTAACATGTGAATTTTAGTAAAAGCTGATTTCCAAAACATACATACCTCTACTCACACTTATAGCTATTACTAGATCTCCAGGGTTTCATCTTTCCTCATCTAAGCATTGGTCCGATTGTTTCTCACTTGCTTCAGTCTTTTATAACCGACTCGCCCTTGTGATATATGTCTCGTGATACTCTTCACCTATGTCAATGTGCCTTCCATCCTGACACTGTATATAAACACCTCATTCAGATAATTTTATCACTTTTTCTCGACAAAGCATCACTAAAGAGTTCCCAATGTTATGATTGTTTGGAGATACTTTGAACATTATCATGTTATCTTGTTGATTTCGTAGCAATAATAATAATAATTTGTGGTGAGATGGAGACATATATTCGTATCTGTCACGGTCCTCCAGGGGGCTCTGAGGCTGCATTTCAGGGTTATTCATCGACATTTTGGAGAGATTTGAGATTCGCGTTTTCCTATTCCTTCTGTTAGTTTGTTGAATTTTCAGCCCCCCTGTGGTTCAGTGATAAGCTTAAAGTGGTTACAAAATCGGTCAAATCTACCGAACCCGTACAGATAAAATATAAAGTTTTTTCTTAAGAAACATTTGATAACTATCTGGACATTATAAAGATTT